CTTCCACTTTTCTTTTTGCTTATGTGGTGCTGAGGAATTGAACCCAGGGCCTCATGCATGTAAGGCAAGCGCTCTACCACTGAGCCACCTTCCCAGCCCAAAAGAGGAAATTCTATGGAGTTTGAGAAAGTACTGCTCTGAATTTGGCAATCCAGAATTTGGGGAAGAATTTTATCCGTCTGCCATAGGAAAAAGTCTCCCGGCTGGAAGCAGAGTTAGATGAAGAGAAGAACACGGTGGAGCTGCTAACTGACCGGGTGAATCGTAGTCGGGACCAGGTGAGTCTTCTTTACCTTTCATCATATCTGCCCTGTGTAACGTATTGGCCCCCTTGAAGACAATTCTTCCCTCCCATCTGTTGTGATCCGGAGAGTTCTAGATGCAGAATCTGTATATAGCTGAGTCCACTTTAAGGTCTCCTGTACTTCTGGAAGAATTGGAAGGTTTCTTGAGGTGGAAAGAGGCCAAGAATTTAAGTGGAAGAAGGGGTGGCCTGGGTTATTTTGACCTGAGTCAGAGTTGTTTTGGTTCAAGAGGGCTGCTGGTTGCTGGTAGAAGTAAAGAAACAGTTTCAGTCCCATGGCTCCTTCCATTTATAAATAACCATTTCTTAGTTGCCTGGAAAGTTTTAAGATTCAGTGTTCAGAGATCGATTTCCAGGACCCTGTCCTACTTGATTCAGCTGGCTGGTTCACCTCAGACCTCTGCCGGGTCTATCTCCTTCTTATATTTCCACTAGATGGATCAGCTGAGGACAGAGCTCATGCAGGAGAGGTCTACTCGGCAAGACTTGGAATGTGACAAAATCTCCTTGGAGAGACAGGTGAAAGGAAGGGGAATCTTGAAGGTGGACCCCAGATGGTGAGTAGAAGACCTACTGGAATGCTAACCATGGAAGCTTTCTACCTCAGAACAAGGACTTGAAGACCCGGTTGGCCAGCACAGAAGGCCTCCAGAAGCCCAATGCCAATCTCTCCCAGCTTGAATCTCAGAATCAGTTGTTGCAAGAGAAGCTACAAGCTGAAGAGAGGTAATTAGAGCTTCTTCTCTCCTTCCCTTCTTCCCTCTCAGTTTTATTCCTTCTGCCTTATAATCTAGCCAACCTGGCTTCATCTTCAGGGAGTCTTTTTTTCTTCTGATTCAGAGCAGAGAGTTGTAGAAACTCTGAGATGTGAATTCTTTCTCTCTGGTTCTTTAGATTTTCCATGGATGCTTCCTAATATACCGATGGAGTTCATGACTGAGAAAATGCTTAAGAGGCAGTAAGGGACCAAGTAAAGTTTCTTTCTTTTTCACTCTGTTAGGGAGAAGACAGTTCTACAGTCCACCAACCGAAAACTGGAGAGGAGAGTTAAAGAGTTGACAATCCAAATTGATGATGAGCGGCAGCATGTCAATGACCAGAAAGATCAGGTGAGGCCAAGCAATTGCAGCACAGGTATGTATTATGCATTTCCCTGAAGATCATAGAAGACCTGGATCTCTCATAGGTCTTCCAAACTTTGGATTTCCTTATAGAAAGTCAAAGCTTGGATTGAAGGGACTAGAAGAGTCATAGCTTATATATTGGGTACTATTTTCTCTAAGTGTTATATCTGAATTCATTTAATTTCCAAAACAACCTTCCGAGGCAAGGAAATTTGCTCATAGTCACACATTTTTTTCCAGGGGCAATTATCCTTTTTCATCATTGTTACAGATGAGGTAGCTTTTCTAATGGGGGCACTTGGTATCCTTCTTAGTTAAGCCTGAGGGTGAAGGCTTTGAAGCGGCAGGTGGATGAAGCAGAAGAGGAAATTGAGCGACTGGATGGTTTGAGGAAGAAGGCACAGCGTGAGCTGGAGGAGCAGCAGGAGGTCAATGAACAGCTCCATACTCGGATCAAATCCCTGGAAAAGGACGCCTGGTATGGATTGCCCCTCTGTGCTGTGCTCTATGAGATCAATAGAACAGGAAATGAATGGTGCTTCCTGAGCTGGAGAAGGAGGAGATACTCTAAGATGTTATTCTCCTTGGATTCATTGCATGTGCATGTGTGGTCATACCTTCCAGCCTGGTAGCCAGTATGATTATTTCTTAGTATTTCAGCCACCATCCTCTACCTCATCTCTCTAGATCTCTGATTGGTGGGGTAATCTTGTGAATGGCCCTAGGCCCTAGAAGAATTAATTCCTTAGTATGAATCTATTCTCAATCTATTCCCCCTCACTTACCAGTATTTTCTCTGACTCAGGCGCAAAACTTCCCGCTCAGTGGCTGAGTCAGCCCTCAAGCACGAGGGACTGAGCTCTGATGAGGAATTTGACAGCGTCTACGACCCTTCATCCATCGCATCATTGCTTACAGAGAGCAACCTGCAGACCAGCTCCTGTTAGCTTGTAGTCTTCAGAGGTCCAGAATCAGTCTTGAAGCCTATCCAGACAGCCCTACTCTGCCTTACTTTGGTCTGATTGCCATGGATTCCTCTTTCCTGTGGGTGATCCTGTTATTCAGACCTAAAACAGGGAGGGGATCTGGGTGAAGTTGATGGATGGACTTGGCCTTTCCAGTGGAGGAGTAGGTATTTTAGGCCTGCTGAGCTCTTCCTGTTGATGCTGACTCCTTCTTCATCTCCCTTATTGTGGAAGAATGGGCAACAGCAGATTGAGGGGGACTGTGAAGGATAAAAGAAGATGGAAATTGCCATGTATATAAAGCTTTATTTCTTTAGCCCTTAATCCTACAGCTCAGGGAAATACCCAATGCTATTCTGCTCCTTGGATTCCCACAATTTATTTTCCTTCCATTCTGGAGCAAGGTAAAGGGAACGTTATGGGTAATGAACACGCAGGCGTGGTTCTGCCCACTTCTTATATGCTTCTCTTTGCACAGTCATGGGGGCCCATATGGTAGTCCCTACACATCTCCAGTCCCTACATTTTTGTCTTCTCTAAGCCAGTGGGACCAGGGGACCCTGCATCCTGCTTCTTTCCCATCTTGCTTCTTTCCTTTCAGTGCCTTAGCCAGGGTGAGGAGATAAGGATGCTCTTCTTGCCTTTTATACCTACACATTCATACCTCTCCAAAGATCAGCCTTCCCCCAACTGGGGTCCTCAGCCTGCCCTCTTTCCCCAGTGTCTGGTCCAGAGACTATTCTGCCAAGGGGCTCCTGGGAGGGGGACTTTGGTAGAGCCATGGTAAGGTGGTTCTGCTCAGGGTTTCCGTTTTTCCTTTTGTTATTCTGGATGTGGGTTATAAGGAACTGCACCTGGGAACTCTAGCAACTGTCTATACAGGTTTCAAAAGCCAAGGACTCGGTCTTTATAGTCTTCCTTCTGGCTTCTCTGACCAGATGTACCTAGCCTCAGTAGAAAACCAATGGAGCCTCCTTTTCTCAGGAATGGGTCCCAACTCAGGGCTTTGCCTAGAGTTGGAGCTGCCTCTGCAGAAATAGGAAGAGGCAATGGAGAATTTACTTCTTCTTGGATTTTAGGGCAAGTTAGGTCCGGAGGAGGGAGTAAGGGGGGATTATTAACCATGTGTGTCCCAAGAAAGTTCTGTAGGGAACCTGCAGAAGAAGGCTCTTCTCATCAATGATTTGTAATTTCATGATTAAAAAAGAAAACCTATATTTCACAAATCAGGCATTTTCTCCCATCTAATCCAGCCTTGGTTTAAATTAAATATTAAAATTATATACCATATGGAATCTTTGTCATCTTTTTCCTGGCTTATTTGAAGGTGTAAGATTTGGGAAGAAGCTCTTTTAGTTTAACTATACAGCTTTTGGAGGTTTCATTCATTTTTTTAAAGAGGTCCTTTAGAGCAGATCAAAATTGGAAGTGTATATAGCAGCTCCATTTTTCCCTTTTTTCCCCAATTGCATTTGGCATTCTACCACTTGAGCCACACCCCCACTTCTTTTTGCTGGCTTATTGGAGATGAGAATTTCAAGGATTAGTCTACCTGGACTGACTTCAAATCTTGATTCTCAGATCTCAGTCTCCTGAGTGGCTAGGATTTCACAGGCATGCATCACTGTTACTCCATTTTCTCCTAAACTATTTTCTGGGTTTTCTGGGAATATAGCAAGGCCAGAAAAATGCCTCCTTTGAGAGCTAGACGGGAACGGTCCAGAACTGTGTTTTATTTCCTGAGGTCACAAAGATATCCCCAGTATTTACCTCCCAGGCAAAAAAAAAAAAAAAAAATTGCATCACTGCTCCTTGCCTTTGCTGGCTTGAAGAAACAGCTAACTGTTCACCAAACCTACTACACACTCAAGAATGAAGCCAGACTTCTGATATATTCTGCCTTCTGCCCAGGCAGTTCATAGGCCAGTGGAATAGCCACTGGCCAGAACAGCTAAGCTGGGAAGAAACTCCAGGATCCCAGTGAGCAATTCCCTCTCTTCTCTGCACTCAAGATCTCAGCCCTAAGCCTTCGGATCAAAGGCCATTGTCAAAGTTAAGAATCATTCTTGGTCTAGAATACAAATTCCTTATAAGGTGATGTGTCCCGCCTCTCCCCACCAAATAAGGGTAGCTTTGGTATAATAGCTTCTGCAAAACAAGCCCCACCCAGAGCTGGCTTTGCCTTTGGCCTGGGCGCCTTGCCAGGGAAGGGCACCTGTCAGACTGGCTTAGGTTAGTCTGAATGAGCTGGCCCATAGTGCCTGCCTTTTTAAATCATAGAGCAAAGATTTACTCAGCTCTACAAAGCCTACAGGCTGGTTTACCTATAACAGGCAAGTGCCTGAAAGTGTGTGCAGGCCCCAATTCCTCGGCTACAGGAAGAACAAATAGGGCAAATTCCCTCTAACCCACACTGAGAGTTGGAAGGAGGTAAGATTAATAAAGAATGTGGAAGCTAGGCGTCAGTGGCTCAAGGATGTAATTTTAACTATTCAGGAAGCTGAAAATTTGAGGATTGTGGTTTAAGCCAGCCTGGACAGGCAAGTCCATGAGATTCTCATCTCCAATTAACTAAAAAAAAAAAAAAAAAAAAGCTGAAGTGTCATTGTGGCTCAGGCCCTGAGGTGCCTACAAGCTCTGAGTTTAAGCCCCAGGACTAGCACAAAAAAAAAGTATATTAAAGCACCACCAGAAGCCCAGAAAAAACTTCAGTTAAGCAGCCCCAGGTCACTCCTAAGCCCCACCTTTATGTAAATTTCAACCAGCGCAAATGGGGCGTGCCCGGAAGGCTCCTGACACCGCCCACTTTGTCCTTTCCTTCGCCCTCGTAGGCGAACAGCATGTGGTGGGCGTGGCTAACGTTCGCTCACGCCCCCGACGCGCCTATACCTGAGGGAGGTTCCGCGTGCGGCCGCCCAGTAGGAACCGGACAGCAGAGCGGAGGGGTGGCTTGTGCGCTGTGACCCCCGCGGGAAGATGAACGGAACGCGGAACTGGTGTACCCTGGTGGACGTGCACCCCGAAGGCCAGACCGTGGTAAGGAAACGTGCCCACGCCGCCTTTCCCGCGTTTCCGATTCCACCGCTCCGGTTTCCCCGCGCCGAGTTCACTGACATTTACCTGGAGCCTGGCTTCGGGGAGCTCCCGCGGCTCGCTCTTTTCTCTTGTCCTGAGGCGGTTAGTGGAGGCTCGGGGTGGCGCTGGGGGGTTCTTGGGGCTCCAGGGCTGGGGATGTTCCTGCAGCTGCCGCCGGAGCCTCGGCGCGGGCGAGACCAGGGGCTGGGGCCACACGCCTGGGCGCGCCTGACTCAGGCGACCCGTGGGCAGCCAGACTGGGTCGCTGGAGAAGGAGCTCCAGAGACGGGATCCCGGCGCTCTGTTGGACCTCGTGGGGGTGGAATAAGCTCTTCCGTGGGTCTTGGTGACCTCAGAGGCCCCTCGATGAATTTTCTGGTGCTTCAGGTGTTCAGTACCGGGCAAAGGTTGTAAAGGGTGAAATCCTAGTAGCTGGAATCGCAGCTGGGGGCGGTAGGGCTCACATTACTGGGAGGATGGTCAGGGACTCTTAACCTTTAAATGCTAAGAGGGACAGGGCCTTCCACCCGGTGGTCGCCTCTTGGATTTCTCCATACCCCTTGCTGTTCTGCTCCTCTCGCTCTGCTGGCCCACCGATCGCTTCCCGGGACAGTTTTCTTGGTGTTGATTCCATCCAGCGCAAATGGATGTAGGGAATCTCTCAGAACCCTGGCTGAGAGAAGGGAAGGGACCTGGACCTCAGGAGGGAAATTTCTGATTAAGGGAAGATTGAAGAGAGAGGGAGTGTTCTTTTTTCACTGCAAGCAAGTCTGCCTTGTTTCCCTCAGTCTCTGACTTCCTGCCCCAAAGTTGACCATATGCTCTCCAGTGGCAAAGGTACTTTATGGCTGGGTGTTCTCTAGGCCTGGAATCCAACCCAGCACAGGTGTGTAGTGTGTCATCAATAGGCAAGCGTGAAATGGGAGCCAAAGTGATGGGGAGTTTGTATGCTCCCCTCATTTGATTCTCTTCTGCCTGTCTCAGCATGCCACTTGAGGTAGAACTTAATCCAGCTTTCTTCAAAGAGTTTTTGTAGAATAGGTGCTTATTTGAAGTTTAGAGTACAGAAGATCATTTAATTTTGTTAACAGTTTCCTCACCATTTCTGCCACATGGCAAGTCTTGCTACTGTCCAACCCTAGTAGAGCAACAACACTCTCTTTTCTTTCCCAGCTATGGGATGCTGAAGAAATAGGGAGAGAAAAAAAATTCCACCTCTCATGTCAGCCCCAAGTCCTAGGCCATACTCTTGCTGTTTTAAAATGGTTTGAGGAAGAGCAAGGAGTGTGAAATAAATGGAGAGGGTTGTTTGGGCTTCATTTTACTTGTAGAAAAGGGATCCAGAAAGAAGTCTACTACCATGACATTGAAAACATTGAGAATGAATCTTGCTCCTTAATGTTTGCTAGGCATAAAGAATAGGTGGGAAAACAGTAAACAAGGAATTCCGAATAACCATAGATAAATTGGAAGCTAACCAGAAGCCTCTGTAGCAAATGGGGCAGCCCTAAATTCCCTTTATTCCCTTTTGTTCCTTTTGTCTAGGCTGAACTTGTGCTGGGAATGAAGTAGTCATTGCCCAGGTCTAGATCCTGGAGACATTTCTGGGCTCTTAAAGAAGGGGAGGAGGAGATGATAAACAATCTATCAGTCAGGAGACAAGCTTTGTCCTGGATTCCTCTCCTCTGAGCCAGCATGCATATAGAATTTATGGCTCTGGACAGTCCCCAGGAACCTGCCATATATTCATACCATCAAAAAGTGTTCAGCACATGTGCAAAGTGAATGAATAAATGAACAGACATTTTTTTTCTCTCTCCTGGAATTGGCAGTGTAGACAGTTGGTATCCCAGTCTACTGGGATTCAGGACCCTGGGACCCTGTTAATGTTTGTCCATGAGTGGGCTGTGTGCCTTAGTCACACATTGATATGGAAATATGGCTAGTACACACCTCGGGTTGTTTTTAGTGTTGGAAGTAGATGTAACTGCTACAAGAAGTCAGTGTTTTTGAAAACTGCACACCATAACCACTAGTGGGTCTGAAATCAATGTAGTGGGAGTAAGAACAGTATTTAAAAAAAAATAGAAGCTGGGCGCCAGTGGCTCACGCCTGAGTAGCCTCTAGCCATTCAGGAGGCTGAGATCTGAGGATCGCGGTTCAAAGCCAGCCTGGGCAGCAAATTTTGTGAGACTCTTATCTCCAATAAACCACTAGAAAACTGGAAATGGCGCTGTGGCTCCAGTGATAGAGTGCTCGCCTTGAGCTGAAGAGCACAGGAACAGCACCTAAGCCCAGAGCTCAAGCCCACAACCCATCAAAAATAAATAAATAAATAAATAAAAATAAATAGAATTCACATTCTCAAAGTGTTAGGTGAGGGGAGACTTTTTTAGCAGGACTTTTCTTTCAAATCTATATGTTTACATATGTATATGTATATATGTGATATATATGATGGGAAAAATGTATTTTTTTGCAAGTCCCTTTGGTTACATTGCACATAAAATACAAATAAACCTCAAACCCATTTTTATTAGACATCTTCATGAATTTCCTTTGGTTATAATAGCAGCTAACAAATTCCTACTGTGAGACATAATTTCTTACAAGGAAATGGGGCAGTGTACAAACTTTAAGGGAAAACTTTAAAAGTCTAAACCGAGGAAATCCAGAGTCCTGAGACTTTAAGTAAGTAAGTACAAAGAACTAAAGGGAACTTTTTATTTCTGGGTGAATTGGATCTATGTATTTAGATCTTTTGCCACCAAGATTCCAGGAAGAGGATACCACTGTTCCCTGACATCCCTACCGCCCTGACTGGGGATAGACCTACAAGATTAAATTAACCAACCACTTGAGGGATACTCTCCAGAACAAAAACAATTATTCTTACTAGCGGAGGAGAGTAGAAGCTATGTGGTTAAAGAACAAATGTCCATGGCATTAGACTTTGGCATGGTGGATCTCCCTCCCTTCCTCCCTCCTTCCTCCTCCTCTTCTCTCCTCTTCTTCTTTTCAAAATATTTTTAATATATATTTTATATATAGGTGGGTGTTGGTGGCTCATGCTTGTAATCCTGGCGGCTGAGGAGGCTGAGATTTGAGGATTGTGGTCCAAAGCCAATCTGGGCACAAAAGTCTGTGGACTCTTATCTCCAATTAACCGCCAGAAAACTGAAAGTGGCATTGTGGTTCAAAATGGTAGAGTGCTAGCCTGAGCAAAAGAGCTCAGGGACAGTGCGCAGGTCCTGAGTTCAAGCCTCATGACTGACCAAAAAACCCAACACACACACACACACACATACACACACATATTTTATTTAAATAGCTTTTAAAAGAATATAACAATCCTCTGCTTACAAGTCTGCTCCATATAAGTTACCAACTTTAGCTGTTTTGTCTGGTGTAAACCTCCATGTTTTCTAAATAAAATGTTTATCGTGATATTGCTTGATGTATCAGTTTTCAACACTTATTGATTTCCTGTTAAATGAGCTATAGGCAGATTTATACTCCTTGTCTCTTACATGCTGCTTTACCATAATCCCAGTGTGATTATATTACAATTTTAAGCTTTCTATTAGTAACATCGTTTACTTAAAAACCTGGTTCTGGGAATCTAAGATGGGCTGTAGTTAGGGCTCTGATGTTTCCTTTGCCAAAGATTACATTGGTAATTTCATTTCTTTATTCTCAGTTTCTTAATCTGTAAAATAGGGATAATAATTACACCCTTCTCATCATACTATGAGGATTAAGTAAGATAATACATATGAAACATTAAGTATGGTTCTTGGCACATGGTAAATGCTCAGATATTAACTACTATTTCCTGTTTGCTACTGACTTGAACTAGACTAATTTAACCTTTTGTGGGCACCCAAGCCCGAGAGTCTGTGAATTCTCTGGCTTGGTCAAAGTTTGCTTTTTTTTTTTTTTTTCCCATTTCCCAGAGTTCATTCCAATAAATATTATTTTGTATAACCAGAGGCACATAGGTATTGTGGGTTTGCTCCTTCCTATTGTGTTGACATTTGTTTGTTCTTATCTACTCTTTTCTTTCATTATTAGTCTAGGTCCTTCTGCAATAAGGGTCTCAAGGGTAAGAGAGGCCTATGTGGATAGACCCACGACAAAGAGCTGAGGGCCTTTACTAGTTCTAACTCAGCCAGGATTGCTTCTATACAGAGTTATGTTCAGGGCTTATATTTTGACATCCTTCTCAGTGCCCTTTCCTCTTTTTCTGATCTTCTGACCAGTGCAACTAGTGTACACTGTTTCTCTGGGCTCTCTGATAAGGTGATACTCTCTAATTTACCAGGATTACCCTTCTTTTGTTTTGGATTTGCTTTAGTCAGAGGGTTTCTAACAGCTGGGTAGATTTAGAATTTGTAGTTAGGACCATGGAACAGGTGACATTTTCTTGAGACCTCAGAAGCTGAAATAGTTTAATGTCAAGCCTCTCCTGAGCCCCACTTGTGTGTGTATGTTTGTGTGTGTATGTTTGTGTGTGTGTGTGTATGCATGCACGTGTGCTTGTGCTTGTGTGCACGTGCTGCTATTCGGACTTGAATTAAGGGCTTTGTGCTCTCTCTTAGCTTTTTCTTCTCAAAGCTGGTGCTTTATCGCTTGAGCTACACCTCCACTTACGGCTTTTTGCTAGTTAATTGGAGTTAAGAGTCTTGGATTTGTCTGCCTGGGCTGGCTTTGAACTTACAACCCTCATATGTGAGCCTCTTGAATATCTAGGATTACATGCATGAGTCACCAGTGCTTGCCTAAGCCCCATTTTATTGGAAAGCTTACCATGAACTTAATCTGTTTTATAATAGCTTTATTGAAATTCTTTTTTTTTTTTTTGGTCGGTCTTAAGGCTTGAACTCAGGGCCTGGGTGCTGTCCCTGAGCTTTCCTGGTCAAGGCTAGTGCTCTATCACTTTGAATCACAGCTTTCTTCTG